GGGCGAGCCGGCGGGTCAGTTTCACATCACTGATGCTTTTCACTGTCACACTTCATCCACAACATCAGATTCATACATGTGTCGTTCTGCTCCGGCCACACCGGATAGTGTGTGTTGGATGAGTGGGATTTGTCCAAACATACATATGGAACATGAGAACATCAGTGTTTCTGCATTTTAGAGTCATCAGCCACTTTAACGAGTGTTAAAATAGGACTGTGTTAGAAAACAGGAGTCACACTGAGACTGTGTCACACGCGGTGAAACAACCGTTCAAAATACAGACAAAATTCACTTTTTTTGCGTTTTTCTCAGAGAATCACGAGAAACAGATCAAACATCTGTTTCTGTTCCACTGCTTCATTAGGATGATGTTGACACTGTGACACTCACAGCGGGGAAACAATGATTGACGAGTTGAACTTTTTCAAACAAATGTGTTTTTCAATTCTGGAAAAAAAGTTTAGAGGGCTCAAAAATGCTGAAACAAATAATGCATATTGAAAAATGCATAATTTCAGCCCAGCCGGTGCTCTCTGACAGCTGGAACTCAGAGAATGTTGGTAGCATGAAGGTGAACGTTTGCATGGCCTCCTAAAACAAACTAAAGTTAATTCATTAAAAAGATCAGCTGATGGGCTCTTTGTGTCCTCCAGAGGTCGCTGATGTCTGCGCCTTCCTCGCCTCGGACGACTCTCAGTACATCACCGGAGCCAGCATCGAAGTGACAGGTGCAGTTTCTCTATAAACTTTTCATTTCACATGACAAATGTTTTCAGTTTAACGAGAATACCAACACATCAGGACTCGTCTTTCTTTGTCAGGCGGACTTTTCATGGGTTAAATCAGCCGTCCGGCGAGCGCGCGACTGAAGACTGTGAGACTAGTTTCTACATAATTATTATTTTTTGACTCTGATTTTGATTGTGTGAATGCTTTTGTAATTTTGATGTGAACCTGTCACATGTTGTCTTAATAAACACTAGAATGTAATGTTGAATCTGAATGAAGCTTTAAAAAAGTTTAAAGTTTTAACATGTTTGTGTGTTTTTGGGGCACAGCTGGGATTTGAACCAGCTACTTAGTTACAAGCATGTTTTAGTCTCCACACCATCATCACCACCAGAGCCTCCTCAGGCTTCCTGTCTTCTCTGAGAAGGTTTACATAATAACTCTGACTTTAAAAACATTGTTGGAGGTCAAAGGTCAGCACACACAGTTTGAACCTGAAGCCTGAGCGTCCTCAGATGTTGCAGGTGTTTAACTCTGAGCTTTCAGGCCTTTCAGGGCTGTTTGTTTCATAATCGGAAGCATCTTTGCTCCATCTGTGCTGCGGTTTTTCTGTCTTTTATTGTTGAAACCACAGCAGTTTTCACTTTGAGTCGTCTTCAGCAGATGCTGTTTCTCAGCTAAACATGTGAGTTTGGAAACAGGACCCATAATCTCAAAGACGACGTACCAGCACATTACGCCCCCCCCTCTGAGGGACACAGCTGGGCTTGTCTTGGTTTTAGAAGTTTAAATGCAGCCGCTGAGAGGAGGAGAGGAAAACAATAACGATGCCAAAATCTGTCTGCAAAACACTCGAGCAAAGAAAAACTGAGGTTTCTGTTTTTGTCTATATAAAAAGTGAAGCTAGCAGCTCTCAAACAATCCTGTCTTTTACTCACAAACACATAAAATGTCTGAAAGCATTTTGAAATAATTACTTGCAGAGAACAAAGTTACGCTAACGAGGTTAACGAGTTAATCCCAGTTCTTTAAAAGTCTGTGACTAGTGATGAAACCGAACTGATGCTGATCTAAAGAGAGGAAAACAGGGGCATAATTTCAGAATGGCCACAAGATGTCGCTGTTTCA